ATATTAGCAAGATTACATATCATAAATATATCAGAGACATACTTTTGTTGCTGACATTCTGTAGTACAGGTAACATACATGTATGTTACTTGTTACATAACTCGTTACCTCGTGATACTTGCTATTATGTATTTTATACATATATGTTACATTACTGTGTTTGCTGGGAATATGTCTATTTAGCAATATTGGTCTAATTATATATTAAATTATATTATCGTGCAATATCTACATTTATTCCTTGGCCAATATTGGCTTTGCGTTGGACAACATCGGCCATTGCATTGCTAATGTAGCCAACATTGGACCATATTCAGCCAATGCACTGTGCTACTAGGGCTGGATTGTCAAAAGGGTCACGAGACGCGACCCAGACAGCCGAATCTGCGACTCTGCCCGGATTGCACAGTGAATCGCAGTTGTTCTTCGAGTTATCTCCCTTCTTGAATTCGTAAGTTTTCAGGAACTCGTAGAAGATAAGGATGATTGGGAAAATTACATGCACCAATGAATTTCTGAGGAACACCACAAGACGAACTGATATTGTTGCTGGTTCTTCAAGAATTCTTCAGTTTTCTAATTCTGCAGGTGTCCTTTAAAATGAATTCTCTCTACAAACTCATGTTCACCTTTGTGCTGTCTGGGTGAGCAAAGTCTGTTATAAATTTTTAGCAGAGGCAGAGAGGCGGCAAATCTGACAGAATCCGAACGGATTTCTATCTAACGACGTTATCAGACTGCCGCTACAAATTCGACAGAGCCTGCTAACGTTTAGATGCCAGCGGACTGGCAGAAACCAGGTGGAACCTGTAGTGACCTGGCGGCAGGATCCGCTCGGTTTCCGCCGCCAAATCACACCAGCGGTTTCTACCGACAGAACACAGAAAAGCTTGGCGCGCACACAAGGGTGGCTATGGTTTTCTCGCGGAATTCCGCTCGAATTCGCTGCCAATCTGCTAGCGTACTGTCCATACAACAATGCCGCAACGTTGCTGCGATATAACTGCAAGTTCTGCGCTGTACGAATGCAAATATCTCGCTTTAACATTTACGGGGAGACTTCCATCGAGTAAAAATACATGAAAATCGATAGGGTGGAAAAATCGTCATATGATGCCCCGACACAATATGTCACGGCGGTGGCAGCGAGCCCGGTCGTCCAACATCACCCGCGCACACGCGCGCACGCACTTCCGCGCGGCGGAACGCGATCGATAAGGGTAAGGGCGATTCTGGAGCGTCACCAGGAGGAGACGATGAAATCGAGGCGCGGCAACGTGACTCGTACTTACGTTGCGATCACACACGGACGACGGGATCCGTCGACTACGTCTGCTCTGTCTCCAGCGGACCGTGCAGCCGCGGTGGACGCCGAGGGGGTCGCGTAGCTCGCGATACAGAGGGATAAGGGGTGATACCCTCTCCCGCGAGTGCGCAGTGGAGCCGGCCAATCCGAAGCCGGTCCCGCGGAGATATGGCAAAAAGCAATATCGCAGCCGCGAGCTTGTTAACGCAGCCTGGTGAAGGGGACGAACCCCACGCCGAGCAAGTTTTCTCTTTCTACAGTTTTTATTTCGTTATTATTTCGACGAATTTCGTGAGAGTATTTTGAGAATCACAATTCAAAAGGGCAAGAAACTTTACGAGAGTTTTGTAAAATTTTACCATTCAGTTATATCTAATTCTACGGGGTTTTTTTTTCTTTCTTTAAGATAAATTCTCTATGAACTTACGTTCACCTTTGTGCTATCTTGGCTAAACATTGGTCCAATCTCGGTTATATTAGAAATGCATTGGCCGACGTAAAGCCAAGACTGGACGTGGAATAAATGTAAATATTGCACGATAATAATTATATAATATTATATTTATATTGGAAGTGCACTGGCCAATATTTAACGGTGTAATGGGGGTTGTCCCACGACTGCATCATTTTCAGGGTAAATTTTAAGAGAAAATTCCCTCCGCGTTCTTCTCCAATGTGCTATCTGGGATCATTCGAATATACTCAATCAATGATAATACAGGCTCTCATTTTAAATGATCCACGGAAATATCCCAAAAAATATGAAAGATACGGAAAGACGTTTCAAACAAAAGTTGTTTGGTTCGAAGGGCGACGTAAGGTGGTGCCATTGATTTGACCTTGGATAGTCATTTGAGGGTTACGTAAAGGTCACCTTCAATTTTTTTAATAGAATTCCTATTGTTTATTACACCATCTTATTCTACTAATTAATATGAACAACTTTTGTCGGAAACATTTTTTTATTTGCCTAATACTTTTTGAGATATTCAAGAGAACATTTATAACTTTTTCACGCGGTAATCCAATACGCTGCGATAGCAACTTAATTTATTGTTGCTTAATTATTCTCTCGTTATCGACACGCGGATAAAGCCGTGGCCGTAATCGCGAACAACAACCCCAACAACCCTGTACGAATATTCGGGCGCGACGCGCACGCCCGGAGCGCTCGCACATTCGCTGCGATATCGACGCGCTTGACGTTGCACCTTTGGCGCTTTGTTTATCATCCCGCCACGCGACCGTAAATTTCTCGTCCCAGCGGACGCGCCTGACAGGTTTCTCCGAGCTCCAGTTAAGTCGCAAGTGCCGCGATTTCGGAGAATCGGCCGTCGAAAGGGGAGGAGCGAGACCGGAGCGCTGGCAGAGTCTCTCCCGCCCCCGCCCCCCTCCTCGGTGGGCCGATAAGACCGATACTGTATTACTGATCGACATCGGTGGACTCGCGCGCGTGCAACGTGCTTCGATCGATCTTGATCAAATGCCAAATGTGACAGCCTGTGGCTCCGTAGCTCCCTTCTCGTCGCGTCGCGTTCAGCGCGGCTCCGCGCGGGAATAAGGTTAGCCCCCGGTTCGGCGCCGTTGCGACGTAATTAACGCGCGTTTCGGAGAGAGAGCGGCGTGTTCTCGCTCCGCCCGCGGGATGGGGACGAGGATCCGCGTTGAGGTCTGATGGTGCTGAGGCGAAAGTCGCGTCTAGTCGATCGCGAATCTCAGGCGTGTTTGATGCCAACGTAACACCCGTGGACAATGGACGGAGAGGATTCCGTGGACGTGGACGTCGACGTCGATCCCATGGACGTGGACCCGCGGGAGCTGCTGGAGACCCTCCAGACGTACAGGAAGCTCGCGGACGACCTGGCGAACCACGACACGATTCTGAAGGTGAGATGCCAAGCCACGATCTGCCGAAGCGGCGTGCTGTAATTTTGCCAGCCGGACGCCAGCGAAAGTGTAAACCACTGGCAAATTCACTGCGGAATCTGCTGTCAGATTGCGACGACACAAGCCTCGGAAGCTCGCAGACTTCGTGCCAGTCCGTCGCAATATTTTACTCGAGTCTGCTGGCAGACTGCTGGCGTGTTGCAGACATCTAGGCATATTGGGTATATTTTGTCGTCGACTGATTGCTTGATTTGTTGCAGGACAAGACAGTCTTGTCGTACGTAGCGTACGTCTTGGAAGTACCTGATGTAGACGTGGTTACCCTAGCTCTGGACGTTCTGGAGATATTTGTTAAAAATGTAGACAATTATATACACATAACGTCCACCTTTGGCGTGCGCGAATCCTTGGAGGCGATCATCAACAAGTACGGCTTGAGCGAACCAAAGATAGTCAGTCGAGCGCAGCACATCAAAGATGACATAGAGCGCATGAAACCGCCTATATATAACTTGCGCAGTCGTTGCAGGCGAGTTATAGAGCCCAAAAAGTTGAAGACACACGTAGTAGTTTTACACGTTCAAGGTTTATTACCGGTAAGTGTTATAATTGTTTATTGCAGTTCATTAACGTGCGAGAACATAATAAGAGAAATAATGGTACATTGGAGGGCACGTAATGTAAAACGATCGGAATAATTGCAGGAAACTCGCGCCGAGCTCGAAGGGATATTAATTAGGATCGAAGGTCTCGTTTCGCTTGTTGTCGACGTAGAGCATCAGCGTGTAACTATGCGCACCTTGAATTATGTCACCGCGAAACAGATCGCGGAAGCGATCGACAACAATACGGACAGCATGGAAGCAAGATTGGTTACGAGAAACAAATTTAATCAAGAGTTTCTCGTCAAGCTGGTAAGGATTGTCGTATACCTTTTAAATCGATTGGTGGTCTGCTTTTATACGGCAGACGTGTGGATTTTTTTTCAATATACTTTTTGTTCATTGCCTGGACAAGTTGTTTCACGTTGCATGTAACGAATCTTTTGCAGATACAAGCCGGCGACAGCGACAGTGAAGGATTGCCCGATTACTTACCCGAGGAAGAGGAGGAAGACGATAAGGAGGGAGTTGTGTCACTGTTCACTGGTTTAAAACAAAGCGCTTCATCCCTATATAAATCTACCACCGAGTTTCTAAGTAATTCATTCTATTGGTAGAATTTCTAACTGTAACGGAGATTGTAATTTGTGACTGTTGTAATTATAATTTTATTTATTTGAAATTAATAACAGTTTATTTGTGTGTGTTCAAAGAGGGGCTGGAAAGATTTCAAGTGTATAAATTGGGTACATTACCTCAATAGATGTATATTGAAGAGAAAGACTTATAACTTTTTAGCGATAATCATGATTAATTCCAATTATTTAAGAATCTCACACTCATTTAATGTATTCATAATTGACGATGCTTAAAGGGAGCAACAAAATTAATTGACTTTTACGATTTATAGTAAATAATACTTTGTACTCGTCGACTGTCTCAAGAGAAAATTAACATGTACAAACATACTTCTAAGTTTTAATGTCTATATTTGTAAAAAGAAGAGAAGCATGTATGTTACACGTGTATTTGTACACAAAATTAACTTTATTTTTCGTATTTTAACAGTTATGCATGCTTTATCTTGTCACTTACCGTATGTGAAGCATTTATGTATGAACATACAAAACTATTTTACGATCTCAGAGATTTCTAATTAAATTCTACTAATGTGTAAATAAGTAAATTCTCAATGAGTGCTACGTGTGCACCGAAGATCTAATTACCAAATCTTATTCACATAAATGAGACTTCGTTTTAAAAGCTTAATGTAAAATGTTAGATTAGATGTAGATATTAAATATATGTGATATACGACATTCAAGCCGTAATAGAGCTTTTCCAAAATTAAATAAAAATAATATGAAAGAATTTTTATTATATATATTATATAATATTTAATTTTTTAATAGTTTCACTCATTCTTGGTTTATTAGTGGTTTTAATTATTATCTTCAATTGTCATTTATGAATTGCTCTTTACAAAATTAATAAATAACTCGTAGATAATTGAAATAGTTTGTATCATTACAGCGATTGACCTTAACGTTTTTAAATAATGAAACGATATTGTGTATAAATCATTGAAAAGTTTTGGAAACAATATTTAAAATACTCTATCGAATCTCATTATGCTCTAACCAATGTTTTGGTTGCTCATATAATCTCTACATACGGCGCAATATATATTGTTTGGATTTGTACAAAACTGAAATATAAAATGTTGTGTAAATCAACTTTATTTTATAACACAAATTTTGTGTACTGCTTCTATTATTATATAATAATAGAACTAGTCAATTTTTTAGCTGCCACTGCACAAAAAGGAACAATTTATGCAACTACGCGCATAAGTATGATGGATACAATACGTATGGTTACTACAAAGTACATCTCTCTCTTTCTCTATTTATAATATGCCTCGTAAATTATTTCGTTCAGATGAGCACATCAAAATCGTTATCCTATCTTATCTTTTACGCTTATTCACTAAGTTGTATTGTCTATATTTACAGATACAGATGTATATAATTGTCATTAAGGCAATTTGAGTTTCAAAGCAGGTACAATAGATGGATGCAAAACATCGTTTCTTTCCTGTAATCGAGTAAACGAAATAGTTCGTAGACATGCGTGTGTGGAACAGAGAGATAGAACTTACAATAATTATTAGTACCGGTAATTCGCGGAATGAGTATGGGGCTCGCGTGCAGTCCAGTGCTATTGTTGAGCTTCGTTTTGAAACTCGCGTAACCAGCACCGCGTTTGACTATTTCGCGCAATACAACTCATTTCTTAAACTATACATTAAATGCTTAGGCTGAAATCAATAAGTACATAGTCACCGTAGACCTACGCTCTCTGACTCTCGTTGGCTGTGAAGTACAAAAAAAAAAGGAATCCAGTTTCTTACGTATGAGCGTATGTCTTGGAAAATATACATACGAGATAGTACAACGTGCCCTCCTATTGTAAATATAGTAGTTTCCGAGGAAGGGGGTTTCGCACTTTTGTATTTTTCCTCTTACTTTTCGATTTACGCCTAACATCTTCGTATCCCTAATATATTGCAAATATAAAAGATCGTACAGGTACAACAATATCTTCCAATACATGCTTCAAAGACTAAATTGCGTATTATTATCAATTCTCTAACTTTCACTAGACACCTCGACGCGGTCGATGCATGCAAATTGCCATAGGCACTTATGTCATAATAAAATTCATTATCGTTACGTTGTACATCCCTATTCTGTTTCGAGAAGTTTTTTTTTAAATTCAATTCTTTTCTTTTAAGACGATGCATTTAAATTGCGCATATACATAATATCATCAGCTGGATGCTTTCATAACTATGAAGGCATTTCACTATTTACAGCTGCCTTTCCATTTCGTCAAACACAAACACATACATAAGCAGAGAAATATGTGAATTTCATTTTTCCTTGACTGTCTGCATTTTATTCAGTGAAAACTTTTCTATGGCAATGGGTATGCACAGTTTGAAATTAGATTTGTGACTTATGGGTGTTCGGAAAGAACTGTGAATGCGAATTATTAGATGCCATGAAAGAAATAAATACATGATTCTTCTTATACGCAAAGTACACCAAGCATAGCTTAGCATTTACCATGGCGATTATTACAGTGAAGTAAATGAGTGTGAAGCATAAAAAAATGCTTGATGTACATACGCGATTCCAGATAATATTAACGTAATAACTGCATCTGCAAATAATATCCTTCGAAGCAGTATCTAGATTTGTTGAACAAGAACTATACTACACACTCTACACTCATGTTCTCATGTATATGCTATAAAAAATGTTGCGTAATAACTCAAATAAACTTGAGCAATATTAATCTGATCTTTCATAATTTATATATATATATATATATATATATATATATATATATATATATGTGACTGATTAAACATTGATTAAGAATGCCTTCGAAAATTATTTGACTTTGATAATCGAACAGGATAGAAAGTTGCGAATTATTTGCTTACCGAATCATTTGTTTTCTAAATTACATACATTTTTAATATATGTATGTATACATGTATGTATGTTTATATGTATATATGAAGATGTGGATGCAAGTATATATGTATATATGTCATTATGTATGTGTATGTATACATATATGAATAGACAAATATCTACAATACTTAACATAAATTACAGAATGAAGAGATGATGCGATTACTAAATTTCACTCAGGCAGTAAATCTAACTTATAAACCGATCATAAATCAGATATAAAAATTACACTAACAACTAATCTATATTCGGCTCTCCATCTTCATAGATCCACTCGCCGGTTGAGATGCAATTGTAACTTCACTGACTTCGTCTGTTTCCGATTGACTCGATGTGTCAGAAACGTCGTCTATTTCCTTTCTCTGGGTTTCAATTAAATGCACACACTTTGTTTAATTTCACAATTTTGTCAGAAATATATTGTTTATAAAATTCATTTACCACCTGCGATAAACTAAACGAGTTAGAAAAAAATTATGAAAAATCCACTTCAAAATTACTTAATATTTCCTCAATATTGCAATCTGTAAATGTACAAAACCTCTTACTACCATGTATAATAACATTTGTATGTAAAATATATTTTATTTTCTGGGCAATATAATTTGTGTGATTTTTCGCACGTGGTTATTTGTTTATAACAATGCATGATAATGTAACGAATCTATATTTTCTTACAATTATTTTCCGAAATAGTATAATCGCATAGTTTATTAAAATTTATTTGTGTAAAATGTATTATTCAATTTACTTACTTTTTGGGAATGATGTATATTACGAAGAACTCTCTGAACATCCGGGTTGCTTTCTAAGGTGGAAGTCTGACTGGACGGAGGATGCGAATATTCAGAAGTATTTTCCTCATCAGAAGCTAGTGCCCCCTGTATTCTTCCCGGTGTTGCTAGTTTAGATCTTCGTAATCTGCATCCGGGACCGATCGGCCTCCTTGCGATACTAAATAATATTCGAGAGAATGTATACACTCAATATGACTCATTTATTTATTATCTAGAAGCGAAAAGTTAAATAACTGTTGAAATACTTGTAGAATGATCACATCTTTTAAAAGTTATTCGCAAAAAAATATTTATATCATAAAATTTTGCAGCAATGATGTAATTTTCCAAAAAGTTAAAAGGATTATTTGATAAATTCTTATTTAAATTAACTTTTTCAAGTTTAAAATGTACTTAAAAAAATTTAGTCCGCTATTATTTAAATCTTTCAATACAGCGGAATGTAAAATATTTGTAGACAAACTGTTTTTGCTATTAACTAACATACCTTCTTCGTCTTAAGGAATAGTTATAAGTATAACTTGGATCCTCTCCCTCTTCATCCGACCAGCTTTCTTCACAAGCATCATCTTCGTGATCATCCGTATTGTCCGAAGAAACTCGTATTTTAATATCAGATTGTTCCACATAGTGTCCGGATAATTTGCCCGAATCTTCTTTATTTCTACTGTAACATTTGGGTAATTTAATAAATACTGAATTATACGACAAAAGTAAGTCACATTTTCGCGGATATTATTATTGAATTACCTGTGGGAGAGTATGACATCATCGCCATTTCCATTGTCAATGATAAGACGGTTTGCATTAATAATTTCGCTGACTTTTCTGCCGAGAGTCTCAAGATTGTCGTCGTCGCTACAATCCTTCAAACGTTCGTTTCCATTGGCATTATTTTCATTTAAGTGCTCGGGACTGGAGCATGAACTAGTCTGCATCGGATAATGCATTTCTGGCAAAATTGGATTCCCGTTCAAGCATTCTGTCACTTGCTTATTCAGCGAATGTCTTCTGACGAGGTCCTGAGGTCTGACGAGGAAAGAAGACTTCTCCGGTAAGGAAAGTGCTATATTCACAATCGGGGTGTGATCTGTTTCACTGACGTCCATGATGTCCGTTTGTGTGTGACTGTCAGTGAATCTTGAAGATGCCTCTATACTCTACAATTAAGAACCATACCATGTGTACCATAACATAATGTGCATTGAGAGATAAAGAATCTCAACTTTCTTACAGATTGGGTCTTGCGAAAAAAGATTGAAATTGAAAGAATTACTCAGGAACATAAGATATTAAGAACTGATCAAAATTATCTTTAATGTTTTCCTTTCAACAATTTATTCTTCACCTTTCTTTCACGATGAGGACTCGATCTAGGACTGGAACTTAGACCACAACCCGAACCGACTTTACGATGCCTGTATTTACGCTGTTTGAAGCTATTGCTCGGTGCTAAAACAGTTTCCGGCTGATTGGATTCGTTCAGCTGCGTATACATGGTGGCTTTGACGGGGCTCTCTGGCGAATCTGTGGGCGATGGAGGAGTAGTAGGTGTCGAGGAAGTAGAGAACTGTACTGTGCCATTTCGCCTGCGGTACAGCCTCTCCTGGGCCTTCAGTAAAGGACGGACAAGACGTTTCTTGTACTGCTTGTATCCTGATGATTGCTGTTCTCTCCTGAGACAAACCAGACATTTATTTCCAAATGTGCGAGTTCGGCTGCAGTCTTGTGCTACGTGTCCCGTAAGCGCAAAGCGGTTATGCAAAGCAAAACAGCGTCGTCTATTTAAAAAAATATATAATATAATATAGTACATCTCTCATACACTCATACACAAACGTAAAACATTACACATACATACATGTATAAAATACACATAATACTTTGACTCTTTTCAATATTATAATACAGTATTTTTCTTACTTTATCACATCTCGCTCGCGTAATTCTAATTGCAATAGAATAGCGCTTAGTTCCAAGTACAGATTGTTAGTGCGTTCGAGTTTGCGCTCATAGTGTTCCCTGACATCCTGAGCGTGTCGTAATTCATCCTTCCTCCGTCGGATTAGCTCAGCCTCGAAACGTGGATCGGTATTAGTAAATAGTGGCATATGCTGCATGTGTTCCTGTATTTCCTTCTTCCAAGATTGCTATAACGAAGGAAAATTTCTCTATCACTTACCTACACGCTCTGCTTAACAATTGCACCGAGAACAATTCGTTATTCATCATTTGCGTTGTACTAATTATACTAAATGAATTCTACCTGTGCCTTAAAGTAATCCTCAGGTTCCGTGGAAAGAACATCAACAGCTGCGATAGCGAGGTGCATCTCGATGAGTTTGAAGGAGGGCCTGTTACGCGGTTTGGCCGACCAACACTGCTTGACCAGTAGCCCATATCCCTCCGGACAACTGGTAGGAATTGGTAAATGAAGAGAATTGCTGCCCACCCCCCACATAACAGCGGAGGAATCCACGTCCTTGTAAGGTATTTCGCCGCTCAGTAATTCCCACAGTACGACGCCGTACGACCATATGTCCACCTTCTCCGAGCATGGCTCGTTCCTGATTACCTCCGGCGCCATCCACGCCACCGTACCGGCGAAAGTCATTTTCGTGCTAATCTCATTCCACTGTCTACTCGTGCCGAAATCGCTGATCTTTACTATTTCCCCTTGTCCTATTAGAACACTACAATAATTTTCTTGTTATTCTACATTCTTATTGCGTAGATTATGGATGTATTTCATTTACAGAAGATTATTTTACGTCGTTAATTTATTTTAATTAAATTTTATGTTATATGGTTTATGTCGCGTACAGAAATATCAAAGTCGTGCTCCATTCGTGAAATGTTTAGGTAATTTTTATTTTGAATGAAACAAATTGGGATGAAAAATTGGAATTAACTGTTTCCTTGATGAAAATGAATTATTATTTATTCCGAATGGATTTCAATTTCATCAACCTCATTGTTTACTTACTTTGGACTTTTGAGATCTCTGTGTATTATTTTGTGAGCATGAAGGTACGCCATCCCTGCAGCAATCTGTTTCGACCATGACACCAATCTAGCGGGAGGAACCGGTTCTCCAGCTCTTAGAAGGTCATACAATGGGCCGAACGGACAAAACTCCATTATTATGCAATAGCAAGGAGGTTTTGTACACACTCCTCTGTAAACATCAGACGAGCCGTTTGACAATAAGCCTTTAATAACGCAACTTGTACCTTAATGTCGTAGAAAAAGAAAATAGCAGGCCTTACTTGAAGTGTACAATATTCGGATGATTGAGTTTCCGCAAGTGGCGTATGTCAGTCTCTTTCGGTTCCTTCACCTTCTTTACAGCTACTATCTCCTTATTTAATTTCCCACTAAACACCGCACCTTGAGCCCCAGATCCGAGCCACTGCAGCTCGCTGATTGCTTCGAAGGGTATCTCCCAATCGTCAGCTGAAAAAGAAATGTCATGTGTAAATAGCGATACCAGATGTAACTTGTAAAAAATCTTTTCAAATCAACGATTATTTCCAGCATTTAAAGCAAGAGACTACGCTCATAATGCGGATTCCATTTTATAAATACACGAGATACATGATTGTATCTCAAGCTAATTTTGAAAATTACAAATTTAATTTGTCCAGCAAACTCGATGAAAAGAATTCCCTGACATTTTCAGGTTTTCCAGGAGCAGGAATGAATTTTTTTTGAAAAAAGAGGAGAGGGCTGCTTAATGTAAAAACGGGAGAACAAAAATAATAAGGCGGAAAGTGCCACATGGAAACTTACATAACTTACTTGAAAGTCCCTTGATTTTTTCATTAATCGCAGCCTTCGATAACATGGTCCAGACGGGACGCATGCATCCCAGGATGCCCTCGACCCAACTCGACCGTTGAGAATCGATGCTCTCCGATCCAGAAGCGCATTTTGTCGCGGCGTCGCTGGAGTTACTCGCGGAATTGAGGTGGTTACTATTCGGCAATTGAACCTCACGCAGCTCGGTGATGAGCCGTTCGGGGCTTCCCGCGATTTCACTCAGCTGAGCCAGCTCCTCTTGGATGCACAGCATGCTGGAATTTTATATACATTGTACACTTCCGATAACACCTGACGCAAGTCAAACATGTGTACGCTATTGTAATGCACATTTGTAATACAATTACGACAATATCCGGAATAGAGGTACAGACATCAGAGGCAGAGGATTCAAATTAACCGATGATTAAAATGTATTATGTATTAGGGCACGTGCGTTCGCAAACCGATAATAAAATTCAATTCGAGAGAATAGTAATCTACCTACACGATTAATTACGTGTTCACGTGTGCTTTATTTCTCGGGACGCACTCTTTGAATATTCAAAGATGAATAAGCTTACTGTAAATATAGTATTCGTAACAACACACGTTATCGTTGCTACATATTGTGCATTGTTTCATTATATTATAGAATTACGTATCATTCACACGTTTTACTATAACGCAGGAAATAATTGTGGAGCAACGTTTGATTGCAGACATTCGCCATAAAGGGAAGAATCGTGCAAGATATTGGACATTTACAAATTAAATAGTAAAGAAAAATTTATACGTAAGTAATTAAATAATAATTATTATTTATCAATTATTATGATAATTTTTGTATTAATAATAATGTGTTCTCTCTCTCTTCTATTAAAAGTCTGCACACATTATATAATTACAGTAAAAAGAGATGTAAAAATTCTTTTTACCTTCCCTTTCCCCTCATGGATCTTCTTCTATTTTCATTTTCAATTTTTTATTTCTTTTAGCCGAATAATGTTTAAATCGCGCAGTGTGGTATAACAGAGGAGTCTTCCATTGCAAGTGGAAAAGTAATCGACCCCGGAGAAAGAGAGATTTATCCTCGTGCAGCAAGCTGCATCGAGAATCGCCCGCAAAAAAAAGAGACCGAAAATTGTACATAATTTTATCTTTATGCGGTCCGATGAACGATAAGAAACGACGTATGATCTGTCGCACGTCACGCCGGCGATACCGATCGCCGGATAGTCTTACGCCAATATTCAGTGACGGATTTTCGATCACATGCAGACCGGAGTCTGGCATCCCAAATTAAGCTGCGCCTATGAGTCTAAGAGCGCCAAAAATTCTGCCACTGTCAATGCTGACTTAGCATTGTTTGATACAGAATTCGGATTTGCTTAAAGCTATTAAGTTCTCTAATGTATAGGCATTGATGCTGGCGTGACTGTATACAATATGTATAGTTATAGCATTGTCTTAAAGAACAATGTTAAGTAGAGAAAGACAGAACTTGCGTATATTATTCTCGGTATATTATTCCAACTCTCCATTTTTAGTAAACAGCGACGTCGAACTAAAAACGTCGAAGTTTGCGAAATACCGGCACTTCTCTCAATTATCAATTGACCGGCTGTGTCTTCGCGATAACAAGTAAAACTTATAATAGTCTATTTTTAAACACAATGGTCACGGAGCGAGAGCTGATACCACCTTGATATTAATTTAAAAAATTTGAAAACGTCTATCAACTAAAAACAATTTCATTTCTCTTTGTGTTGTTTATTAATTAATTTGATGTCGTTACTCTTTTCTCCGAAAATTTACTTTATCTGCGTCTTCTTTCCGCTTCGAGGACTGCCAAAAGGCGATATTGTATCGATAACAATCGCAATGCTTCGCTCGCAGACGGCTTTTCAAGGCTACACGTGGCAAAAGGTTTGCGTTTGTGTCAATGACTTTTTACGGCTAACAGACTAAGTGATGGACACTTTGTCATACATGGACATTTTTATCTCCGTTCTTCTCGCTCGTGAATACTACGTGAATACTTATCTGGCAAGTACGAGAGTTTCCATCACTTCGGATTAGACATTCAGTATTTATGTACTTATAGGTGGAATAACGTAACTCAATTAATATTTTTAATAACCGATTCTTGATCGATTGCTCTTTTCTTTTAATTATAAAATCTTAATATTAAGAGCTTCTTAATTATGAAATTCTTTCGTTAAAGATACAAGCACTTTTCAAAAAAATTAATTTTTGAGCTTTGTCAAATTTAAAGAGAAAAAGTTAACTGTTTTATTGGTGATATTTTTATCACTAATACCTGCTTTCGTTTAAATTCAATTAAATCTTATTCCAGAATTTAATTACCTAGATGCATTATATATAAAAAACCTCTATAAAGTTGGCACCTCATGTCTCAAAAAATCATTTTTCATTTAAGAATCTGAATGCACCCCAAAGAGTTCTAGAGTTCCTTATTAATTTTAAAAATAGTTCTGGCGAATTAACCTATTTATAGTAAATTTTAACAGATAAATCTTGTTACTAATAATATAGAACATATGTATTATATAAGATTAAAAAATAAGTGCACATTGTGTTGTCTTAACCTTTCTTTTCCAGGTATTTTAATAATTTTACATTTGAGGTCAATTAACACAAGGGCGATATGTTAAATTAACACATGAATGTGTTAAACCTTCGAGATCGAGTTTATCGCAATGCGCTGTGTATATTGATATCATTTGCATCGCGGAGACACGAACTGTCACGCCCACCGTAATTTCGATTGACACGATGCAACTCTTCATGCGCATTGCGGAGATTAATGTTACCGGCTCCGATAACACGGTGCCGCGTTATCGGGCGTTTCATTCGTTATGAGAGCGCAGCGAAAATCTTCGAACGGAATGCAACAATGTGGCGTGCAACGCGGATATTGATCGCGCCTTTACGTCGCGACTGCATTACATGCATATAGATATACGTTTCTAAATTTAATTCTCGACTGATAGTACGAGTCACGCTCTACTAAATTATTTAGCGTCTCACGGACAGATTCTTTCGGCGATTCTTTCAGCTCGGGGAACACCACATTTCGGTGTATCTTCGAGGAAAAATTAATCTACGCAAATAAACACGCTCGATCGCTTCCCCGAGTTACTCGCGTTCGAGTATCGTTCTTCAGTCGCAATGTAAAAATGCGATAACAAATACGTGATAAAAATGACGTTATATAAATACACATCTCCGTAGAATGTATACATTATTTTAAGCGCTGCGATCAGTTACTATTAAAACGCATATGATGTGACATCAAATTGTAGACAAAGCCTACGAGAGAAAAGAATTTTGTTTCAAGTACTTGTCAAGTAAGCGCACGAAACAATTTTTAACTGCCTTCTAGTAACAATATTTGCCCCACCTTTGTCCATATGATACAATATTTGTATGTCATAGATATCTTTATTTATGTAAAGATACGTATCGTCATCCGTTCCAGATTGGGCAGTGTTATTTGTGGTGTTGTACACGATAAATATATGTATTCGAACGTTCACCTTGAATTCCCGTTTCTTAACATATTTTCTTACGTATATGACAAGTTAATAAAGAGTTTGATAAACGTTTATCAGTCCTGAATTATTTCGATATAATGGGGAAAAACGTTTACGATTAAAACTAAATTTGCTACCTAATGGAACTTTGCGCTTTATATTTAATTAAAGCTGACAATACAAAGAAACGAATTTTTAATGCCTTTCACAGGTCTATCTAAAGCTATACTTTCTTGAACGACAGTTTAGATAAAATTTTAGCTAAAAAATCTATGCATTATTTCTGGAGTGACGTAAAAGTTTCGAAAAAGTGATATATAAGTAAGGGGACTTTCTTCGCGGCGTAAATTGTTCAAAATTTCACCGAGATTTCACAATGATTTCTAACGTACGACTGCGCGTGAAACAATGCCTAGAAAGGAAGGCACGAATTTCGTGCGCGTGCGAAAGGAATTGCATAAACAAGCCGCAGTGTTATGTTTAAACTAGTTATCAGCTGTTGATTTTATTGATAACTGATACCAGCGCGCGGGAAAACATCCCGTGTGCGCGGCAACTTAACCCAAATTTATACGCAAGTGGAATTGGAAAATCTGCAGGGACGCCCGTTCTCTTTGTTCGAGAACGTGAGATCGAACTTTTCTCTTTGTTAATTTATCGACGGCCTGAAGTGGAGCCGAAACGTCCGGTTTGGTAATTTATGTGTATTGTAACCAAAGAACAATGCACGTTTACACTTGACACATTAAACTCCCACGCAACCGCGTTACTCCCGCTGCCCTTTATTCAGATTTTATATTCCGTTATTGAGGCTCTGAAAAAAAAAAACTTTATTCGCGAACGATGGCGCCGACGCGTCCGCAGTGAAAATGAAAACGGGTCGTCAATCACGTCGTGAAAAATATCAAAACAGTTCCGCGGCATATAGTTGCTGTATTTTTACGCCGACTGTTATCACGTCGCGTGCTCGAATGATGACAGCGTCGCTTGTTATACATATTATCGCTACGTATATCGTGGAATGTTAGTCGCATTTATTAGATACGCCAATACTGCTCCGGTTAAAAGTCCGGTGGCCAAGTACTTGTCATCTTCCAATCGTAAATTCGCCGAGCGAATACGCGACGAAACTGAACCAGAGGGACAGATTTACAGCAGGCACGAAATTGAGAGGAGAGGAGATTCTTTTAACAAGAAACTTATACAAGTTTGAAGGAATAAAGGGCCGAGAGCCGTGACATAATTTTCTTAAATTAATAAAATTCGTATGGCTCAAATGTGACAAACACAAAGAAGGAATAAAGGACTGAGAGCCGTGACAGGGTGTTAATGTCTAAATATTTCGTATTTGAAATTTATTGCGAAAAATATTACCTCAGCCAGGATAATACTTTTGAGGTAATATTTTTCGCGATCAATTTAACATATGAAATATTTAGACACCAACACCCTGTCACGGCTCTCAGTGCTTTATTCCTTCAAATTTGTGTTCGTCACATTTGAGCCATACGAATTTTATTAATTTAAGAAAATTATGTTCATTAAAACGTTTCGGATAGGACGTACACTTTTTTTTAGAGTTTAGCAAATCTCCGTTCCTTGATGGAAAGTAAATCGCCAAAGTCTGCGTGTACTTTTGAACGTTAACGCGACGAAAGGCAGCGATTAGGGGTAAAGCATGATTTTCTCGTTTTCCGCGATGAAAAGCAAATCGT